ATAATGTTTGACACATCCAACCTAGTCGGGCTTTCCAAACCCAACGGTGACGTCCGGCCGGTGGCGATCGGGGAGGTGCTTCCGCGTATCCTCGCTCGAGCTCTCTGCATCTCGCTTCGCCCTGTGATGGCTTCTTATTTTCTGCCGTGTAACCAGCTGGGAGTGGGCACCAGGGCCGGGGTGGAGATTCTTACTCATTCTTTCCGGTCAGCGCTGGCCACTCACCCCGACTGGTGTGCGCTGCAGATAGATGTCGCGAACGCCTTCAATTCGTTTCATCGCCACGCGATGTTCGAGGGGCTGAAGGAGTCGCCTTTCTCAGGAATGATCCCATTCTTGCGTGTCTTCTATGGGACACCTAGCGACCTGTACCTCCGAGCGGGCCCTTTCGTACAGAGTCTTGAGTCGGCACGAGGATCGCGACAGGGGGACCCGCTCGGCCCTTTTCTTTTCGCTTTCACGCAGCAGCAGGTGCTGGGGACGGTGACTAGAGAGTTCAGGGACCTACTTTTCTTGAGCTATGCAGACGATACCTACATCCTGGGACCAGCGGCTAGGATTCTGGAGGCTTTTGGGGTGCTGCGGGAGAGGTTGGAGTGGGTGGGGCTGGAAGTGCAGGCGCACAAGTGCAGGTTTTGGGAGCGTGGAGGTGGGGATATGGAGCGGGCATTGCCTTTGGGGATGCAGCGGGAGGAGGAGGGTCTCACTGTGGTGGGCGTGCCTATTGGGGAGGAGGATTGGGAGGGGGCCCGATTACGGAAGCGGCTTCGCGAGTTGCAGGCGCCATTGCCGTGGCTCCCCCTGCTCGACCACCCCCATATGGCTTCGCATCTCCTCGCTATTGCAGTTTCAGCACGGCCGATGTACCTGGCCCGGACTATGCCGCCGCGGCCGGAGGTGGTGGAGGCCTTTAGAGAGTGGGACAGCTGTCTGGAGGATTGCTTTGAGCAGCTTTTCCCCCCTGGCACTTGGGAGCAGGACCCCGGCAGGTCTAGGCGCGCACGCATGCAGCTGCATCTCCCTGTGCGCCTCGGAGGGTTTGGGATCCGGGCGGCGGCCTCTTTGAGTCCGCTCTCCTATGTTTGTGGGTGGGCGCAGGCCGCACGGGATATTGCACATTTGGGGGTGGCGGGCGAGGAGGCGATGTTCGCAGAGTACCTCACCACTTCGGCGGGGGCGGAGCTTCTTGACCCGTGGTTTGCCAAGGCCATTGAGCAGTTGCCCGCGACTATACGCCAGGAGCTGCCGGACTTACCCCTGTGTGTGGCGGCCCCTCCTCTTCGGCTTTTCCAGGCGCGGCAGCGGCAGTTGGCTGTTGAGGAGCTCCAGGCACTCCGCCGCTTGGCTCGTGACGATGCCACCCTGGCCCGTTTCACATCCCTTCAGGGCCCGGGGGCTGGTGCATGGGTTTCGGCAGTTCCGGCTCATTCAGATCTCACATTCACTGCAGCGGAGTGGGGCATTGCTGCTGCTATACGGCTTGGTCTCCCAATCCAGCAGCTGCAAGTGGCGGGGAGGTGTGTTTGTGGCACAGCGTATGATGACCCAGCAGACCCGCATCATGCGCTGAGATGCAAGCACCAACACGGTCCATCTCGGGTGCATGATGAGGTGAAGTTTGCGGTGGCAAAGATCGCTAAGGCGTCAGGGGGGGTGGTGACGATGGAGGATAGTGCGGTGCTGCCGGGGAAGCGGGTTGACGTAGCGGTGCGACGACCAATGGCTGGGGAGGCTCATGCTTTAGAGATTAGTGTCGCGGACCCGCTATCACTGTCTCCATCTCTGCTAGGGCAGTGCGGGCGGTCTATAGGCGTGGCGGCAAAGGAGTGGGAGCGTCGCAAAACGGGGGATTACGCGCCTCTTCTTGCACGGAACCAAGGCATGCAGTTCACCCCTTTGATAGTGGAGACGTGGGGGTGTCTCGGCGGTCGCTTCGACAGCAGGGGGACGCGCACGTGGGGCTAGCTGTGTCACGGGGGGCTTGTCGGGAGGATGACACTTCGTTCTCGGCTTACCTTTTGGGGTCTCTGAAGGCGCTCATCGGAGTGGCGTTACAACGGGCGCAAGCTCGTGTCAGAATGTTATTATTGTCTAGCCTGTAGTGGGGTGCTCTATAGCGAGTACAACCCAGTTAGGGTTTGCTATATGTACCCCAACTGCTGCTAGTGAAACCCCTCTCCTTTCAATCATTCTTGCCTAGTCTTGTTGACATGCTATCAGAGCAGGTCGACCCCCTTGGGTCGATCCTGTGGGTGGGCCCGCCACCTAACTGCTTCCGCTGCTATTCTGCTTCTCGCACGCCTCGGGCGCGCGCCGTCTTCTTCCTGCCGTGCGCTCAGGGCGTACGGCGGTTTTCTGCCCGCCGTGCGCCCCGAGGCGCGCGGCGGTTTCCTGCCCGTCGTGGCGCCCCCGGGGACCTGCGCGCTGCCCCCCGTCGTCCTCCTCCCGTCGCCTCGTCGCGGCGCCCTGGGGGCCCGCGCGTCCCCCCCCTCCCGTCGCCTCGTCGCGGCACCTTGGGGGCCCGCGCGCCGCCCCCTCCCGTCGCCTCGTCGCGGCGCCTAGGGGGCCCGCGCGCGGCCCCTCCCGTCGCCCGTCGAGCCGCCCTCGGGGGCCCGTGCGCGGCCCCCCTCCCGTCACCCGCCGTGGCGCCCTCGGGGGGCCCGCGCCCTGCTTCTTCGTGGCGCCCAAGAGCCACCCCGCTGCCTCCCTTTCCCTCCGTGCCCCGCCCCTGCTGTTTCCCGCGCTCCTGCCTGCGTTAGGGTTTGGGGGTGGCGGGCATGGGGGTGACCGGTGTGGGTAACCTGCGGCTCCTCCTCCTCCTCCGTCTCCCACTGCTGCAGCTGCCGCTGAGGGGGGTGGGTGTGTGGGAGCCGAGGGTTTAGGGTTTAAGGGGGGTGCCGTGGAAGTGGAGCTAGGGTGTCAGCAGGGGGTGTGTGAGAGGGGCGTGGGACGGTCGGGGGAGGTTGCGTGGAGGTAGCCGTCGTGACGCCAGCAGCGCCAGTAGTCCGGATGCCCTCGCGCGTTTCGGTAGCCCAGCGAGCCTGCTTCGCCAGTCGCCTGTGGGTCCGTTGCTCCTGTGTGTGCTCGTCGTAGCCGCGGAGCCAGATACTCCCGTAGTCCGGTGCCCTCGTGCGCTCGGTAGCCACTGTGCGCGCCGCTCCTGTTGCCCGTGTGTCTGCAGCTTCAGTCGGCGCCTTTCATCTTCTCGCCCTCACAGTTTCTCCTCCTCCTCACTTGCCCTCTATGATCACCTCTAGCTTTGCTTATAATTGTGAACTATTGCTATGCCTGCTCATTGTACTGATTACACCCCACTTTGGCTATGGGGGTGTGTCAGAATGTTATTATTGTCTAGCCTGTAGTGGGGTGCTCTATAGCGAGTACAACCCAGTTAGGGTTTGCTATATGTACCCCAACTGCTGCTAGTGAAACCCCTCTCTCCTTTCAATCATTCTTGCCTAGTCTTGTTGACAGTGTCATCCTGCTTCGGGCGGCGTCTTCCATGGGGGGGTTGAATGTGGACTTGGTGGATCGGGAGAGGGACGATGTCGAGGTGGAGGGCGGGCCTCTTTGGGTGGAGGCCCCCTACATGGTGGATGTGCAGATGTGACTTGGGGGGGAGGGGGGGGGGGCGAGGGGGAATGGGGTGCGAGATGGGACGTCTGGTAGGGGATCCGGGTTGGGTTTTTTTCTTTATGGAGTATTTTTATGGGGCTTTTTATGGGTGTTGCGTTTGAGTTGTTTCTGGTGTCTTTCTTTCCCTTTTCCTTCTCCCTCTTTCCCTTTTCCTCTTTCTATCCATAAGTACTGTACAACTGATCCACAAGACGATCTGCTGTTTTACCAAGATGATAGGATAAGGCCATAAATGAACCTTCATGTTACTAAACTGGTTAATTGTTGTATTTAAAACATGAAATGTGTATTTGAACTATCAAGGACAAGCTTTCCATCATATGAAGGATGGTCCCTAAATGCGTCAAGTGCCGGGGAAACTGAGCCATGCTGAGGAGAACCTGACGTGGAAGTTGCCTCGCGAGGCATGACTTGGAATCGAAGCGGATCTCGAAGCTTGACACTCGAATCACGTCACGACGACGGCTCACAAACACCAATTCGGATAGACCTTCCAAACCATTCCGGCCAATCAGTAGGTTGCGTTGGGGCGAAAGCAAAAATCTAGTCGTTGTGCGATTGATGGTGGCTCGTGCTGTGCCGTGCCCTGTCCTCAAGGTCCTAAACGTTCCGAGCCTCCACCAGAAGCAGCCACGCCATGACTCCATTTTTTGCGGCGCTCTCCAGCCAGACTTCGCAGGCCCAGCAAAATGCCTTGGCTGGCTTGGCTGGGTTCTCCAACGACTCTCAGTCATCGCAGCTGCAAGATCGCGTTTCGAGCTAAACCACCGGGGCGAACCACAACCACCAACTTCCGCCACGTAAATAGCTTGGGGCAACTTCACTGCCAATCGTACACAGCCCTTCATGCGACAGAGTTCTCTCGCCCAGCCGTCACTCCTCCGCACCTGCGCCATCGCTGTAAACTGCCTGGGATTCCTTGTGAGAGATTTCAAACTTGAGGCTTTTGTTGGCGGAAGGCAGCGGCGTGCCGTTGATGACACCTGGGCGATGGAGCTTCGGCTTTGTGGTTTGGAAAAGGGCGAAAGGAGGGCAGGTATGGGGGTAACCGTCAAGTCATCGTCCGAACCTGTTTTTTCGCCCAAAAATGCACCACTTCCCCCATCAAGTCGTCATCGTCAATTTGTCAGCTGTATTGCGCACCTCGCCTGGACAGCTATCATCTCCTTCCATCACTAGCTCCCCATTTGGCACATTTTTCATGTTTGGAACGAGGCCATCCTGGACCTAGTCATTCATAATTCGAAGACAGTGATCTGCTTACCTCCTATTTCTGTGTGTTGTGAGAGCTCCTGTTACCTTCCGCATCGAGCCTCAGCATCTTTACTTACCGTCAGTTGGCCACGGCGTTACGCGCCGAACCTATGACGGCGCCCTCTAGCAATGTATCCGTATCGCCACGAGGCCTCATGACGCCAACTTGCCTCACAGAAAGAAACAACACGCGGCGCGCATCCCTCAGGCAGCAGATCAAGCACATCTTGAACTTGTCACCACCTACGATGAATCGCCGCCGTCCATCCGCGTCGCAAATACAACAAAAGGGCCCGCGCTTCGTCCTCTTTCCTCCTCCACTCTACATCCTCCTCCTCTTCCATGCTCTTATAGCCTCTTCCAGCGCTTTCCCTGATCTACCCCCGCTTGCCCGTGGAGCCCCTGTCCCCCGCCACCCCTCGTCGACCGCCACGGAAGCATCTAAGCACCTTCCTCTAGAAGCAAACCAAATACAGGTTCTAGATGCTTCTCCGTCTTCCGTTCCCTCCATCAGCGCCGCCGTCGCAGGTCGTGGTACACCCACAACCGCATCGGTAGCCGCCATTCCAGCCACCAATCCCGCAGCAAAAGAAGGGGCTGTTGCGATTCAGTCAGACGGCTCTCGTACTGCCGAGAATCCTTCTCAACTTCCGAATCCGCGGTTGCCGCCGCAGACCAGTGCGGCGCCGTGGATACTGCCGCCGCATATAGCCGACGCGCAGGCTGGCGAAGTGGTCCGCGCTGCGGGGAATGAGGGAGGGGAGGCGGGAGATGCAGCAGCAGTGGCGGGGAAGAGCGTGCCGATGGTACCGATGGTGCCGATATTGCCAGAAATGCCGTCGTGCGAGCGATGGGTGCGCGACGCCCTGGTCGCCGTGCGACAGTACCTCACCATGCCCGACGGCAAGAAATGGCCGGTAAGATTGCGTTGTAGCGCGCGAGATGCGGCCCTGTGAATGCCACGTGTCCGAACGGATCTGCATCGATGAGACCGTCGGAGATCAGGGTAGTAACCGGGGCACGTTTGATCTGTCAACCCGCACACGTGCATTGCGATTCCACCCTCGTGCGACCCTGGCCAGCTTGTCCCCTCCACCCCTCGCGCAACCAACCTCTTTCCCTACTCCCTCGCTGCTCCTCCCGTCCATCTCACCCCGCCCATCCCTCGCTCTCGCTTCTCATCTTCCCCCTCCCATCGTACCCGCCTTCCCCCTCTTTCCTCCTCCCCCCTCCCCGCTACGCGTGCCCCCGACAGCCCTTCGAGCCGAACGCCAAGGTGGCGGCGGCGTCGGTGCTGAGCGTGGTGGGCGCGGCGCTGGCGAACGCGGGCGGTGTGGGCGGCGGCGGGCTGTTCGTGCCGCTGTTCAACCTGCTGCTCGGCTACGACGCCAAAACGTCCACCGCGCTCTCGAAATGTACGCGCTCCGGGGGGTCGGATGGGGGAGCTTTCCGGAAAGGGGAAAGGGAGCTTTCCGGAAATGGGACGAGGAGCAAGGAAGAGGTGGGCAGTGTGGGAACGGCGTGGTGATCGAGGGAAGGGGGTGCGGAAAACGGGTAACAGGAAACAAGGGAAGCTGGGAACGGTAGGATGTTGAGGAGGCTGGCTGAAACTGGCTGATCCCCCTTGGTTTGACTGCTCCCCGGTCATATACAATAACCCCTTTCCATCCTCCTGTCACATTCTTCCCCCACCCCATGCGCTTCCGGCCCCCCCCTTCCCCCTCGTCTCGCCTTTACTCCCCCTTGCTCATCGGTCCCTCGTTTGCCGCGTCATGCCACGTGTACAGCGATGATTATGGGCGGCGCCATAGCGAGCGCGTGTTTCAATGCGGGTCTGCGGCACCCCACCAACAATCACCGCTCTCTCATCGACTTCTGTAAGCCGCCTTTCCCTCCTCTGCATTGCCGCCATTGCTGAGCATTCTTCCCATTGCACCCACGCCGCCATTGCTACTCCACTGCGCCCACGCCCAGCATCGTCCAACATGCCTTGGAGGGGCTTTCGCCGCTCGGTCCTAACCGAAAATCGTGCGCCATCCTCGGTGATCGTTGTCGCTCAACGCTCTGTGCTGTGCGCTCGCTCTGTCCCGTCGCTCGTCAGCTCCACAATCCGAAACTGCCCAGCCCGCTCACCATTCCCTCTTCCCTTCCCTCCGCCCCCTCTTCCTCCCCTGCTCCCCGCTCCCTCTCGCGCTGCGCGGTGGTGCATGTGGCGGGCAGCGATCGCGCGGCTGATGCAGCCGATGCTGCTGCTGGGCATCAGCATCGGCGTCATGTGCAACGTCATCTTCCCGCCCTGGCTCATCACCGTCATGCTCTGCGTCCTCCTCTCCTGTACGCGCCCTGCCTTGACGCTCCAACCCCCCACCTCCCCCGCACCTCGCACCTCTTTCCCATGCGTGCTCCACAGCTGCTCCGCCTGGCCTTTGCAATGCCTCGCCTCTTTCGCCCTGCCGCTTGCCCTTCCCATCCTCTCGCTCTTCCCCTCTCCCACTGCATAGTGCTGCGCCTGCCCTTGCAGCTGCAGTTGGTAACGTTAGCACCAACCCCTCACTCACTCTATCCTGATCCATTCTATCAACTCTGTCCTCTCATCGCCCTCCCTCGCTCTTTCCCCGCCCATCCGCCCCACCGCGTTGTGCCAGTCATGACGTACAAGACCCTGGGCAAGGGCATCGCCACGTGGAGAAAAGAGACACGTGTCAATCCGGTATGCCTCACACCCATGGCCGCACGGGAGACTACGGGAGGGGAAACAGAATAACGGAAGCTGGGGAAACGAACGAAAGGGAGAGGAAAGGATTAGCAAGACGTGGATTAGGAGTTATTCAGCAGCAACGCACACGACGGTGCTGTAGCTTCCTTGGTCGTGCTTTCCCCCATTCCTTCCTCGCATGTCAGCCCTGTTCACTTTCTGACGCCACCTTTCCTCTGCGTTCCCCCTCTCCCTCTCCTCCCCCTCCTTCCCTCTCCCGGCCTCTGCCCGGCCCTGCCATCAGGCGCTCTCCCGAACATCATCCGTGTCGTCGCATACCTCCCGCCGCTCAACCACACCTGGTATTCGCCGCTCGCCCCACCACCTCACGCCCCACTCCCCTCACGCCCCACTCCCCGCACTCTCATTTGCACAATGCACCGTTTTTTTTTTCACCTGCTCACATCCGCCAGCAGCCCTTTCTCCCGCATGCATCTCACTCCCCCATCCCTTCCTCTCCAACCCTTGCCCCACACCCTTCAGGCTACCGCGGCCCTCACAGCACAACAGGGGGGGGCAGGGCGGAGCAGCAGTACAGGAGCAACAGGCACAGCAGAGGCGACGCATCCCCCTTCTCGCCTCTCCCGAACGGCCACTCGCACTCATCAACTCTCTACAAGCCCCCGCACTCCCACCACCACCATCACCATGAAGCCGCGACCCTCAAGCCCACCATGTCCCTCGATTCTGCCTTTGCTGCCCGTTCCTTTGCTGCCGCCCCTCCACCGTCCGCGCTGCTGTCCCACGCGTCGCTGCACTCGTATACGAGCCTGGACTCAGAGACAGCGTTGACCGTGCATGACTTGGTTGACCCCACCAGCCTGCCTGCTCCCGTGGAGGAGGAGGAGGCGCGGGGGGGACATGCGGTGGGGGGGAAGGGGCGGGAGGGGCAGCACGGGGGAGATTGCTGTGGGGAGGGGCGAGAGGGAGGAGGAGGCGCGGATCCTGCTGCAGATGCGGTGGAGGATGGGCGGGCAGGGGCGGGCTGTGCTGGGGACGGTGGGGATGGCAATAGTGACGGTGCTGCTGCTGCTGGTTCGGGTGTTGCTGCCGGTGGTGGAGGGGATGATGAGTTGCGGAAGCCACTGCTGGGCCGGTTGAGGGTGAACGAGGATGGCGACAGGCAACCTGCCACGCCCCGCTCCCAAGTACGTTCCCACGCCACATTCTCTCTCCTTGCCTCCTCTTTCATTCCCTCCCCCTCCTCTGCCTGTGCTCCTGGTCCCTCCACTCCTATTCACCCCCCCTCCCGTTTACCCTCCCTCCCAGTCACCTTCCGTCTCGTGCTTTCCGCTTACAATATACTCACACTTACAGCATTGCTCCTCCCATGTCTCTTCCGCAGTGCCAAGCGCAGGCCCCGCCAGCAGCAGCAGGGGGGCGGCGGCGGTGGGTGATGGGGGGAGCGGACGCGGTGGCGGTGGTGGAGATGGTGCTGGTGTGGGCCTTCTTCCTCGTCGTGCAGGTCGTCAAGTCCTCCACGCCTGACTGCAGCATGCAGTACTGGCTCCTCACTGCTGCACAGGTCAGCTCACCCTCACCCGCACCCTCTCTCACTCCACCTGTGTTTCCAGCGTTGGCCAAATGAGTTGGTGCTCTGTTGATGATCCCTGTGGGGCTGCCATGCCATGCCTGTGAGTCGTCCTTGCAAGCAGACTGGGTGCGGACCAGACTGAGATGATTTGCCATCACAGCACTACCATCTGCCATCTGCTTTCTCTCACCTCGCCAACGTCCCCCCTTTCTTTGTCCTCTCCTCAACCCATCTCTAACGCAGGTGCCGGTGGCGCTGTTTGCAACGCTGCTGACGGGGTGGAGGGCCCGAGGCCGCAAGCTCTGGTGGGAGCCCGTCGACACCTCCCGTGCATACCTGCGCCTCTCCGCTCCCTCCACCCCCACCGCCGCCCATGCTGCACGCGTCCCCACCCACGCCGCCATCACCACCGGCGCTGCTGCTGCTGCTGCTGCTGGTGCAGCGGTTGCTCTGTCGGTGCCGGGGTCGCCAGTCCCCCCCGGGACTCCGCGCAACGTGCCGCCGCGCTATGATTTCGCGCGCGAGCTGACGTACCCGCTGGCGTCGCTGCTGGCGGGGTGCATGGGCGGGCTGCTGGGCATCGGAGGCGGCATGGTCATGGGGCCCGTGCTGCTCGAACTCAACATTCCACCTCAGGTCAGCGGGGCGCAAGTCGAGAGTGAGGGGGGAGGGCTGGGAAAAGGGGAGCTACAAGGGTGTGGGTGGGCTGTGTTGTGACGCGCTACCCCCTTCCTCCCCTATCTTACCCACCCCCCCCACCAATCCTTCCCTCATCCCACTGCCCCCCATCTCTCCCCCCCTCCCGTTTCACTCACCAGGTGACATCAGCAACGTCCACGTTCATAGTGGTGTTCTCTTCCTCCCTCTCCGTGGTGGAGTTTTACCTGCTGGGCCGCATCCCCCTCAAGGTCGCCTCCTACTTCTGCCTGCTCGCCATGATCGCTGCCGTGTCAGGCCTCTCCATAGTGCGCTCCATTGTCATCCGCTCAGGCAAGGCGTCCATCATCATCTTTGCACTGGCATCAGTGATCGGCAGCAGCGCCATTGTGCTGGGGGCCATTGGCGGCCTGCATGTGCTCAACGACTGGAAGCACGGCGAGTCTATGGGCTTCCGCCCCCTCTGCAACCAGGTCTGGTGACCCCCCCGTGCTGCGCCGGCCCGGCCGAGCCTTCTCGTGCGGGTTCAGGGGAGATGGTGCTTTTGACGAGAGTGCTATGACGTGCAGAGGCCTGTCGCGAACACTGGTGGCAAACTTGAGACAGGTTCCACAGTCCACTATTTGTCATGTCTAATTCAGCGCTTCGGTTAGTCCCTCTGCTTAATGCGATGGCTTACCAGACAGCCCCAGCCCAGCTGCCTCAAGCCAAGCAGCAGCAGTTGTTGCTGCCACATGTAGATTGCAGCAGTCTTGCCATAGTCAGTGTTGTCTGCGTTTGTAGCATGAAAAGCTAAAGGGTACATAACTTCGTCTATGACTTGTAGAAATTTGTAGGCCCGTGCTAGGCCACATTAGGACGCGTTGAAAGTAGACGATCGATCATGGGTGGCGATCGATGTGCGGATCTGTAACCCTATTTACTGTGCTGTAACCTTGCTACAGTACGGTTTTTGGCCAAAATTTGTGCCCAGTGTGTGAATGCGACTGATCACTGATCGCGGGAGATCAGTGTGAGGCATCAAAGCGTCATTAATGCTCTCGAACCAAGCCTACCTGGCGCGATTGATTCTGATGCCTGCGACTTTCTGAAATTTCGTACAGCCTGGAATCCTTGTCGCCCAAACTGTCTACATTTGGCGAAATCCGTAAACAACACATCGCCAGGGTGGTTGCCCTGTTGGCTGCGAGTGTCGCAGGTGGGTATGGACGGCGTATGTGTTTTGGGTGCGAGTCGCATGCATGGCAGTAATCTCGGCCCTGGAACATCCACCTCAAAGCTCAGGTGCGATCGTTACGACGCATCGGTCTTCATGTTTCGCCAATCGATCTTCCCACTCGATTGTGGGGCTCGATTCATGCTCGCGATCCCGCGATATTTGTACTTTCAACGCGTCCTTATACCACAGTATCTTCACTCTCGTTCTCCTGCATTGAACCTCGTCGTATCATCGGTGTGGTACGATACTAGGGTCCTTGAAAAGCGATTACAATCTGAAACAGCTGACCTCAAGCAAGCACACCATAACACAAGATACTACCAACATAAGGCATCTCTCGGCACAACAGAGGGTCAGATTGCTTCCAGCTGAAGCACAGTCTGGGCAGGCACACAGCAATTACTTCAACCAGCGAGCTATACGTTTTTGCTGCCAGCGGCAGCAGCACCAGCAGCAGCAGCACCATCTCCTACCCTGCTGTGCAGAGGGCCCACACCGCCGTAAACCATTACTTCTTCCCTCCGAACCACGACTTGAACAACCCAAACACTCCACCACCTCCCTGCTTGGGCTTGGGCGCCGGGGCAGGCTTCGGAGAAGGCTTGGGAGAAGGTTTGGGAACGAGGTTGGGCTCGCCTTTGCCCTGCGTGGTCCCCGTCTCCTCTGAGTCGGGAGGCGGTGGAGAGGGGGGCGGAGTCAGGGGAGGGGAAGGGGGAGGCGAGGGGGGAGGAGATTGGGGAGGCGAGGGGGGAGGCGAGGGAGGAGGGGAAGGAGAAGGGGGGGAGGGCGGAGATGGAGGAGGAGACGGAGGGGGTGGAGGAGGGGGCGAAGGAGGAGGAGAGGGGGGTTTCGGAGGAGGAGGGGAAGGAGGCTTAGGCGGAGGAGAGGGAGGCTTGGGGGGTGAAGGAGGCTTGGGCGGAGACGGGGGCTTAGGCGGGGAAGGCGGGGACGGCGGCGGAGATGGCGGCGAAGGCGGAGGAGGAGAGGGCGGCGAGGGAGGCGGCACATACTTCTGCGCACAAATGGCGGAGGCGAAATAGCTCCATCCTGCGGCTTCCGCAGCAGCCCCGCCAAGGTTGAGCGTCATGGCTGTGTCGGCTTCCGTGGATCCGTCAGGACTCAACCGCATGACCGTCAGCCCTTCCGGTAGCGCCAGGAACGCCACGGGCGGATTGCTCGGGTAGAATGCCAGCTCTCCGCCGTCCGTTCCTGACGTCAGATACTGAAACGGCCCCAGATCAGCGCCGGCCGACGCGCAACCCGTGGTTTCCGCGAACGGCACGGAATCCACCGTTCCCAGTCGCACCTGATTGGCTGCGAATCCGCCGCCGGCATAGCTAGCGGAGCTGCTAACTAGAATATTCTTATGCACTGGGTTGACGACGAGCGACCCAGGAGTGCCGGTAGTTAAAGACGTGATGGTGAGGGGCGTCAGCGGCCCAGCGAGTGGCAGGGCGTACGTGTAAACCGCGTTGACGTCGAAGCGCAACACGGCGACGAACGTACCCTGCGGCGAGCAAACAGCTTGCTTGGCGGCAAAAGGAACGCTGAAGTATTTAATCGCCGCCGTCTGGAAGGCTCCCGTGGCCGGATCTATCGGAACCACCACAATGAAGTCCGCATCGTCGGCCGTCCTGTGGCACGTCAGCACGGCAAAGTCCTCTGGCGAGCCGAGCGGCTTCCGGCAGAACGAGACGGACAAGCATTGGTGGCCGTTTCCTACTAGAACCGTCTCGGGAACAGTGACCCGGTTTGCGTTCCCAGCAGCGGTGATAGCGGCCTCCAGTCCCGATACATCGAGCGCCACGGCGCCGCTTGCGGTTGCAGAGCCATCTGCAGCGATTAGCAGGTTGTCCGCGGCGCCTCCAAGAGCGACTCGGGTGATGGCGGGAAGCGAGACGTCGATGGCCGGCAGAGGGACCGGGCCGGCAGTAGCGTAACGGACCACGTTGATGTAGCTATCGGCAGACGACGTGTACGCGAATCCGTTTCTGCCGACAGCGCAGCTGTCCAGTAGCGCCGCAGTGTTGTTATCGGGATTTGACGACGCTCCTACCTCGCGATGCGTTAGGAGATTCAGCTGCCAGACCTGGTTGGTCGTCGCGCCCGAAACAGGCTCGTACGCGCCTCCTGCGACTAGACCAACGGGAATGCCGAGAGTCGAATAAGCGGGAGTTTGAGCGAAGACCACAAGAAGTAGGGACGGCGAAGACAGCAAGAGTATGCTTGCTATAGCGACCTTCACCAGAGAACCTCGTGAGCAGCAGCCATCCACGTGGCAACGTCTGCCACGTGGCACAGGGGCCATGGTGCAAACAAGATACCTTAGGGCACTACCTAAACGAAAAGGATTAGGAGTTGGGTGAGCCCATCGAACTGAGAACAAGTATGTGGGGTATGGGGTATGGGGTATGGGGCGGTGTTATTGGCAAGAACGGAAGTATATGTACGGTTGGAAGGGGGAGACCTGGGCGGATGGGGATTGGTTGGCGATACTGCCAAAGGGATTTGTTCTGGGCAGCGTTGGCAGGAAGACTGAGGGGCTTGTGCGAGAATTTATAACCATGCACAACCACCCATTCCCGCAGGGATAAAGACAGGGGGAAGGGAGAGCCAACACCACACTGTACATACTACACACCAATGGTTCATCATTTTCTTCATCATTTGACAAGCTGCCCAATGCCATGGGGAGCCTCATGTTCGCGTCGCAGGTGTCGTGCGATGTCGGTTCACACACAAGAAGCGCGAAGGCTGCATCTTCTAGTGCACCTGGCATCGGAGGAGTGGACAAGCGAGAAAGAATCCCAAGAGATCAGGACTCTGAGCGACAGTAGTGTACAGTATCGTGTACACCCCACTTTGTTCTTCTGATCTGGGAGTGTGGTTGGGGACAGTGCGATTGAAAATCCCACAAAAAAGCTTCTGAAAGCGTATACCATACTGGTTTGAAGTGTATCACAATGAAGCCAGACCCATAATCGAGGCGCACCATGGTGAATCAGCTATTTACTCCCAGCGGATAATGCGCTGCGTTTCTTATTGTGAACGCATGCAGCTTCACGATCTCACGATTCGCGAGGTGCGCGGCGCTTCATCCGCGCGATGCCATATCACAGTCACAGAAATCAGGGCCGGTCAACGTAGCGGTTCGACCGATGTCAAGATTCAAATCTCCGAGCCTCATTGGATGGTCGTCCGCTTTGCCCGCCAAACCAAACCACCCACCAAACCATCGCACCTCGCCCCCCCGTGTGGTTCGACTTCGCTGGGGTGTGCACACACGAGCCCCTAAGACCGTTCCTCCGCACAGAAGGTGTCACCCTCAGGTATACACCCTGTACGTACAGGGGGTAGAGATGGATGTGACCATGTGATGTGAACGCAACCATCCGTCGTGCTATTGCGGCAATATTCTATTTATCCCATTCATTAACCAGCTGGTTCTGCCCCACTCTTCCCCCCCCAACTGCAGATGTGGAAACCAAGTACAGCATTTCACCAGCGCTGACCACACCTACAGCACAAACAAAGCTAGTGTACTTCTTTTTGTGACCCATTCCTGGTCGCACCTGGATATGTTTTTCACCTAATCACCCTCACTGGTTTGCACAGTGGACACAAGCGCCCAGATAGACATGGCGGTGAAATACTTACGTGGCGTTTTGAAACGCATTGCATTCAATAGAACGCCGTACGGCAAAGGTCATTGGCGTGGTGGCTCCAAATGGTGCAATACGTACATACACCATCACAGGTCCAGTTTCAGTTCGCAGTTGCTGATGGTTGGGGAGGCTGAAGTACACCAGTACCCGGCTCGACTGGGGTGATGTCATTCCGGACGCGTGTCAACGCGTAACCGATTCGGCCAATTCCGGCGCGCGCAACAAGACCAAGACCAGGCGCGATTTGGACCTGCTCGTCATCACCTCAATCAATCCCAATTCCCAGACTCAATTTCCAAACCATTCAGTTGGCTGGAGCATATGCAGCTCGTTGTCCAAACCTGGCGTGTCAAGGAACGTCTATGCCAACATCTTCCGCACAATCGCTATCCCGTCGCGGGTTCGCCCTGTCGCTGCCTCTCATGTTCGTCTCTTTCATTGGCTGACACGTCCAGAAATCCGCCATCGCAGTTTCTTTCCTCGAGTTAGGTAGCCGTTTTTATATGCAACAACTGCGCAATCCGTTGCCGCAAAATCTAGAGCAGGGGGGGCAGGAGTAGTGGCACGAGGGGCAAGAGCAGGAGGGGCTGAAGCGGGGGAAACAGGGGGAGGCCTTAATCTGAACGATTCTCACGCGTAACGCCATGTGCGCAAACCCACCGTGGCAGCGCCAATGAGCCTCTCATCGACCATGGCCATCCTGTCGACGGCGAAAGCAGGATCCAAGGCGACACATATTCGGGACATCGCTCGACCCCGCGGTCCTTCGCAGTAGCTGCAACCACAGCCATGGCTACGCCCCCACGTGATCCCACTCACAACGCCTCGAGCACCGCCGCTGACGGCGCGTCTCACCGCTGGATTTTCCCCCGCCCGCTCGTTGAAGATTTTGCGCCGACCGCCAAGCTTCGCCCCGACATGGTTCGCCAGCAGCCCGTTGGCGAGCCTGTTAATGTCTATAACGAGCCTTGTTCGTCGCAGCTGAAAGAGATGAGGTCGATTTACGGAAATTCGCATCTCCCGTCGTCGAATTTTGAGAAATCAGCGATGGAGCCGGCGATGGGATCCACGTGTTCTCTCGACTCGCCGCTCCTTTACATCCCCTCCTCCCAATCGCTCTCACCTAACGCTTCGCAAACTTCGCCGCACGCTTCGTCGCAATCGTCGCCGCACGGATCGCCGGCGTCGTCGCCAAGCATCACACCAAACGCGTCTGTGAACGACTTCTCGGCGCTCGATTCCCCACTGGCAGTCGAGTCCCGTCATCACGATTCCGCCCATGACTCCGACTCACCAGCAATTCCCTTCATTCTCTCATCGCAACGACCCGACGCGCCGCTCCCTTCCCCCCGGTCCTCTAGCGCGACGACATGGCCTCCGTCTGCGACATTCCCTGCGATGCCTCCTGCGACTGCGACAACCCCGAGAAACCAAACCGGAGGTTCGAGCTGCTTTAGTCACGCGCCCCCCTACTCCCCCGCTCCTTTGGGGTGCGCGCACTCCTCTGCCCTTACCGCGCGCTCCCGATCCCCCGCTTTCACCGCCCCGGGCCCCGCATCCGCGCCGTGCTCCCCGCTGAAGTCGTGGCGGGAGAAGCGTCATCATGCGGGGAAAGGAGCGCGGGGCGGCTCCGCTCTGTCAGCGGTGGCGCGATGGGTGGTGGCTGCGGCAGCGAGCGGATACGTGGGCGATAACGTATCACTCAGTGACGTGGAGGTAGTTGCGGGGGCGCTGAAAGCGGGAGGTACGGGGAAAGCGATGGCACTGGCAGCTAGCGTCGCGAGGAGGAGCATTAGGAGGAGCTTTCTGGTGGGAGTTGTGGCGCTGCTGCTGTGCAGCGTGCTGTTGAATGTCACGACGACGACTACCACGACGGCGGCACAGGAGCAGTGGCAACAGCACCCCTTCACGCTCGGGTCCATTCGCTTCCTTCCTTCCTCCCCCGCCACTCCGCAACGGCTGCGGTTCTAGTGACTCCTGCGACGGAGCCTGCGACGGACCCTGCGACGGCCCTAGCTGTGTTCTCCAGCGGATCTGGCCTCAAGGAGAACAGCGTGCTTGTGACTGTATCGGGTGGCTCGCAAGAAAAACTTGGTGTTAGAGCACTGGAACCAGGGGTGGCAGGGCATGCCGGTGTGGTGGGGCGAGCGGAGGACGTGCACGAAAGGAAAGCTGAACAGGAGAACAAGGGAGTCAGCGGATCAGGAGCAGAGGAAAGAGAGGGAGGAGGAGGAGAGTGGGGGAAAGTGGGAGGCGCGGGAGGGGGCAGCGGAGGCGGGGTGCAAGGGGCCCCAGGAGGTGAGGAAACTGTTGTGGCGGAGGGTGCCGAAGCGACGATTGCGGCGGCTGCGGCGGTGGTGGCGGGGGGAGACGCGGCGATGGAGGCGGGCGGTCGCGACGAGGTGGTGCGCGCGGGGCGCAGCGACACGGGATGGCAGTGGCTGGAAACGGTGCGCGGGAGTGCGGGCATAGCGGCCCAGCCGGCGCAACTGACGCAATGCATAGAGCGGTCCAAGACGCATAAAGGTAGCGTCGCGGGCTCGCTGGCAGTTGTCAGCGACCGGGGAAGAGCGTGCGGGAAAGAGAGGGGGAGAGACAGTGAGGCAAGGAGAAGGTCTGCAGGTGAAGGGACCTTGTGTGGCGGCATAGGCGGAAGCTACTGGGGTCAGCAATCCATGCTTTCGTTCCTTGAACCCTCCTACATCTCGTTTTCCTCGCCCCTTTCCCAGAACCCCCAAACATGTCCCTTTCCTCTCCGCGATCCCTGGTGTGGCAGTCCCTGCAGCACGCACCAACGGCTACCTGGTCGTGACGGCCAACGGAGGACTCAACCAGATGCGCGCAGCGGTAAGCCGCACCTTGTCAATTCTCACCCATGCACCGCACGCGCACAGCACGCCATCATGGAACCCTGTCCTGTCCCGTTCCAACTGTGCCACACCTTGTTGTTTCTCTTGTCCTTTCTAGCACCTCTCACGTGCGGGTTTTTCTTACCCCTTTTCCTCTCCACTGCTCCCATACCCTTCCCCTCTATCGTTCCTGCTCTCCTCGTCTCGCCTCTTCTCTCGGAACCTCATCACGCGTGCCCCCGCAGATCTGTGACATGGTGGCCGTGGCTCGCCTCATGAATGCCACGCTCGTGCTGCCTCGCCTTGACCACTCCTCCTTCTGGGCCGACCCCAGGTGCGCCTTGCGTTGCCTTGCCTTGACATGCCATGCCTCGTGCCCCATGCCGTTGGCCCATGTTATCCTGTCGCCTGTACATGACCCAGCCTGGGCAAACAGCTCTTTTCTGATTGGTCCAAGTTATCTGCGAAATACCAACAACTCTGTCCTCAAGCCCCATTCCCTTTGCCCCTCACCATGCAGCGAGTTTTCGGACATCTTCGATACAGAGCGATTCATTAAGGTGCTGCAGCCTGACATCCGCATAGTGCGGTCGCTGCCTGTCCACCTGCAGTCCGTGCAGGCACCAGAGATTCAACCCATATCCTGGTCCAACGTGAGTTCACCGCTCCAAACCCTGCCATACCTACCTCTTCATGCCTGCCACAATTTCTCATCATTTTTCTCCCACCCTGCACTCAGCTCATCCCACCTCCCTCTGCATATCTCCACTCTGCTCCGCATCCCCCAGGCGTCCTACTACAAGGATCAGCTGCTGCCGCTGCTCAAGAAGCACCAGGTGCTCTCCTTCCCTCTCTCCGACTCGCGCCTTGCCAACAACCGCCTGCCAGCGTCGCTGCAGCGCCTGCGGTGCCGTGCCAACCAGCAGGCACTGGCCCACACGGAGCCCATTCAGGCCGTGGCAAGGGAGGTGGTGCGGCGCCTCAGGAAGCGAGGCCCGCGCTTCATTGCCCTGCACTTGAGGTGAGGACTGCGCCGTGGCCTTTGGAGGTTGATGCACGCCGTGTGTTGTGCGCAATCTGAGCATCATGTGGTGCATACGCTGCATCATTCTCGTTGCCATGCGCGTTCAGTGTGTGGGGGCATTGGCATCAACCCTCCCATACTTCTTTCCTCAGACATCTACTGTCCCCTCCCATCCCCCTTCCCCTCCCCCCTCTCCTCCCTGCACCAGGTACGAGAAGGACATGCTGGCGTTCACGGGGTGCGCGCAGGGGCTGAGCGCGCAGGAGAGTGAGGAGCTGTGGGCGATGCGCATGGCGGTGGCGCGGTGGAAGGAGAAGGACATCGACGGGGAGAGCAAGCGCCGCGACGGGCTCTGCCCGCTCACACCGCGCGAGACCGCGCTCATGCTGCGGGCTTTGGGGTTTGGCAACGACACGGTGCTGTATGTGGCTGCTGGGCCCATCTATGGCTCCAGGGGCCTGCAGGTGAGACGCCCTACTCCCTGTTCTTACCTTGCGCGTCGTTTTTCTGGAAGATTGGAGCTTATATGCTTCCCTGCTTAGAGTTTACAGCCTCCCAGTGACCTTTCTCCCAAGTCCAGTGCGCTCATGCAGTTGTGTTCACATTCATTCCTCTTGCCCCTGATATCCTCCCCCTGCCATGTATGTCCCGGCTCCCACCAGGATCTGGAGGCTCTCTTCCCCAACACCTTCACGCACTCCACCATCCTGCCGCCATCGCAGCTCGCCTCGCTGCTGCCATTCCAGAACCGCCTGGCAGCTGTGGACCACGAGGTCTCGGTACAGAGCGATGCGTTTGTGTTCACGTATGACGGCAACATGGCCAGAATGGTGCAAGGTCACCGGCGGTTTCATGCGCATGCGCCGACCATCGATCCTGATAAGTGAGTGGTAGATTTCTGCATTCGCTCATCATCCATGCATTGTGCGTGCGTTGTTTCGAATCTCCTGCAAGCAGGCTCGGGTGAGGTGATACATGCTTCTCCACCCATGACATGAATTTGCACTTATGTCCATGATCACACATGCAGGCGTGCAATCATCCATGCCCTCGATGCCTATCATTCGGGGAACACCACCTGGAGTGAGGCGACAAAGGCCATCCGTAAAGCGCACGGGCCATATCGATTGGGGATGCCAAGAGCAAGGAGGGTGGGAGAGAACCCAAAGCTGGAAGACTACTTCTTTGCCAATCCTTATCCCGGCTGCATGTGCCGACAACCTCAGTCCACTAGCAGCCATTAGCAGCTACCTCTCCATGCCATGAGCCAGCAGCAGCACATGGAGCCACTTTAGAGGAGTAAAGCAGCGTAGCTGCTGGACTGGTGCCATGAATGTTAGAAAAGAGAAAGAGTTTTTAGATGGAATGTGTGAGACATAGTGGTGTGCATGATATGCTTCAATTAAATAGATAGTACTGTTCATGGATGGCTATCTTTGCCATCCCCACCTCCCTGCCACCCCCTCTCTCCCCTTGTTCATGCGTGCTCCCATCCTAACAAGTTGTTCTAAAACAATAAAAAATGAATCTTTCCTAGCTCAATGTGTTCTTATAGCCGAGAGATCCCCAAGCTGGAGGATAACCTCTATGCCAATCCCTATCCTGGTTGCCAACCTCAGTCCACTAGCAGCTAAGAGCCAGCAGCGGTGCCTGGTGTGTTGAAAAGTTCAAGCAGCATAAGATGGATTCACAGCCTTGTCGGGACGACAACAGCCCAAAAAGTGGCAAATTTTACAACAGTTTACACCCGAATCATGTGCCTTGCAATTCTCCATATACGAATCAACGAAGTTGGACGAAACCTTGGTTGGTACGGCATTGTTGGAAAGTTAGTTGCAAGAGACCAGGGCTCGCTGTCAAATAACAACATTCAATGTGTCCACTTTCCTCTGACTTGGTAGTGTGGGACGAGGCCATGACATATGCAGTTGGATTGGTTGGATTCTTTGGGTTAAGGCAATTCCATAGAGGGTAGTTATTCCATAGAGGACCCTAAAGCTGTGCTGTATCGCATGAGGAAAGTCCCATTATCGAAGCTTCCCATGGTGAATCACGTGACAGCAGATGATGCGCTCCACTTTTGGTTGTGAACACCCCACCGAATTGTCGGAAGCGGGAACTGTCATGATATCACGGATCGCGGAGTACGCGGCGCTAAATCCGCGCGGCGCAATCTCATCTCACAGTCGCAAAATCATACAGGGATCAGTCCGTGAGTGCTCTCGCAAATTTGACAGCGTCTCCTCTGCCGTCCTCGCTAGTGATAACCAAACCACCCCCCTCGACCCCAAGGATGTCCTGACCTGACCTGGATATAGGTGGCTGACCTGAATTTGACCAGTCTACAAGAGGCGAGCCGGCCCGAGTAGTTTCACGTGGCGTTGCGGAACACGACATCCGTCGGTAGGATGCAGCCATACGTCACAGGCTATCGTCGTGAGATGGCGATCCCCAAACGTGCAGTACACATGATGCCCGGTTGAGCCCCCCAACTTTGGCCTACCCCATGTGCGTATAAGTGATTCTGCATTTCGCGGTGGTTTGCATCGGGCAAAAAGGGCTTATATAAAAATTTTGTAACTCACCGTTGACTGTTTGACTGCAGTCTCATCAGTCAGACTTCCGTTTCTGTGGCTCTTATTGGTCGACGTATTTGTAACGTAGGTGCAACTTCGCGGCAAGAAACCCACGGGTGCAAGGTTTCTGGAACGTCCAAGGCAATTTCGCGTGCACGGGTTGGGCATCGACTGTACCTACGCACCATACTACGAGTTTCACTTCGCAATCGCCGACGGATGGAACGCTAGCGAACCTGTTATGAGTTGTAAAAGAGAGTGCGCAGGTAAACGAATAACGAGACTGTGACTGAATGAATCTGAGAATACAATGAATGCGAGAACTAATGTAGGCTAGCCTAGCTAGGAGGAAACCTCGGACAAGCGAGGTTGGGTGCAGGTTTGGCGATGGAAATGCCGAAGGCGACGTGAGGAGCTTCGGCAGCGTGGAAATCGCCCGAACGTGCGAACTCCGAAAATCGGGTTGTACGCGCAGTAGTCAACCCCGATAAGGAATTCGAGAAAATTCCTTACACCACCCCCCCCCCCCCCCCCCTTTAAGAAAGGCGGTCAATATCCGAAACACGCTTGCGCGCCAAGTAATCACCAACAAGTGGCGAGGCGTCGAGCGAGGCGGATGGCACCCACGTGTCGTCCTCACTGGTGCGATCAGTCCAGCGGATTAGGAAATCCACGTGTCGGCCAGCTGCGTCAAGTCGAACTCGATGGGCGAGAATTTTCAATGGGTCGAGTGTCGGCTCTGGGACAGGTCGAGCTGTCGGGGCAGCTTGCTGACGTGCAATGTCGGTCGTGGCTGGCACGAACTTGCGAAGCAGGCTTACGTGGAAGGCGTCGTGAATGCGCCAGTCGTCTGGTAGCAACAGCTTCGCGGTGACAGGTGTCACCATCTTGATAATCTTGAACGGTCCGCAAAATCGGGGCCGTAGTTTCGATGGACCGGGCAGGTGCAGGTTCTTCGTGTCGAGGAGCACTAATTGCCCAGTAGTCAAGACGAGTTCCCGGCGTAGGAGGTCGGTGTATTTGCGGGAAGTAATATTCGCCTTGCGAATTGCGTCTGCTGCTTTCTCGCGTATATGCTGAAGTTCCGTCACAAAAGTGTGTGATCGCGGGACCGGGTTGTCGAGCGAAGTTGCCGTGGGCACCGTCGGATCCATCCCGTAATTCAAGAAGAACGGGGAGTGATTAGTCGTGCTCGATGGTGCGTTGTTGAAGGCAAACTCCAACATGGCGAGGGAATCTTCCCATCGTGCGGGGTCGGGGCAGTTTGTCCGTATCAGCTGCTCCATCGTCTGGTTGGTTCGCTCGGTTTGTCCGTCCGTCTGTGGGTGGTAGGCCGATGAGAACTGTAGCTTCGTGCCGTACTGCGCCCATGTTTCCTTCCAAAACTTGGATGTAAACTTCGGGTCCCGGTCGGTGATGATCGCCGAAGGGATGCCGTGTAGTCGCACGACCGTTGAGATGAAGAGGCGCGCAGTTTCTTCGGCTGTGATCGTCGTTCGGCATGGTGCGAAGTGCGCCATTTTCGTGAAGCGATCGACAACGACGAGGACAGCGTCGTTGCCGGACGGCCCAGCTGGCATCCCCGTGACGAAATCCATCGTCACCTGTTGCCACGGTCGTTCGGGTGGCTCGAGGGGTTGCAGCAGCCCAGCTGGTCGCTGTCGTGTCGATTTCATGGCTTGGCACACCCTGCATGAGGACACGTAACGCTGCACGTCGTTAGAGGAATCGGGCCAGTAATATTGACGGTGCAGTAATTTCTGGGTTTTATCAACCCCGAAGTGTCCGGAGTAGTTCGAATCGTGGACCTCCTGGATGAGGAGTTCACGCAGCAGCCGGTAAGCGGGGACCCAAATCCTGTCGGTGCCGGCTTTTAGGTAATAATCCCCCTTCTGCGTCGTGGCCTGCTGATGATTTCCTGTCGTGAAGAACGGGTCCGTAGTGTAGCCGTGGGTGAATAGTCCTGTAAGTAGCGGGTTCGAATGGGTGATCAGTACAGCAGCGGATTGTACGGTCGGTCTGGTCAGGGCGTCGGCGATGTTATTCGCCCCTTTCTTGTACGTGATGCGGTAGGTGAAGTGGCTCTCCATGTAATCCAGCCACCGAATTTGTCGCGGGTTGAGGTTCGGTTGAGCTCGCAGGTACTGTAGGGACTTGTGGTCCGTGCGCACAGTGACGTCGGCGCCCACCAGGTAGCATCGCCATAGTTTAAACGAGTAGATTATGGCGAGCATCTCCTTGTCGTGGATCGGGTAGTTGCGTTCGGCAGCTTGCAGCTTGCGTGATTCGTAGGCGATCGGCTGCAGCCCGTTCCCGAAATCCTGGAGAAGCACTGCTCCGATGGCGAAATCAGAGGCGTCGGTTACGACTTCGAACGGCTTTGATGGGTCGGCGATGCGCAGTACAGGAGGAGAAACGAGA